GCCCCTCAAATTCAAAGACCCTTCCAAAAATGGATATCTGAGATAAACACACATTTCTCAGATGAAGATACACAAATGGTAAATAAACACATGAAGAAATGCTCACCATTACTCATGATTTGAGAAATGCAAATTAAAACAGCATTGAGATTTCTTCTCACTGTGGAAAGAATACCTGCCATCAAGAAATCAACTGATAAAAAATGGTGAGGCTGTGTGGAAAAAAGAACACTTCTCCACTGTTGGTGGGAGTGCAGGCTGTTATACTCACTATGTAAATCATTATGGAGATACCTCAAAACACTAAGATAGAAGTTCGATTCAATCCAGCTATTCCCCTCTTGGGTATTTTCCCAGAAAAACTGAAAAGGTCATGTCACAGCAATATATGTGCACCCATTTTATAGCAGCACAATTTGTGATAGCTAAATCTGGAAACTATTGAAATGTCCATCAACTGCAGAGTAGATGAAAAAGATGTGGTATTTTAATACAATGGAATATTACTCAGCTATAAAAAGATGTTCTTGAGACCTTTATAGGTAAATGAAGGCAACTTGAGACTATCTTCGTAAGTGAAATAAATAAGACTCACATTTATAAATATCACGTTGTCTCTCTAGTGTAAAAAATAATAATAAAAACTGAAAGAGTAATAAGAGCCAAAATGTATAACAGATATTGTAAAAATGAAAGGGAAGGAAAGTGATCTAAAGGATATAACTGTATGTATGTTTAAGTGTGTAAGATAGATGGACTATATTACTAAGTTTTCATTGGATCATTGAACAAAATGGTTTGCACTGTCAATGTTTGAGCATATCTATCTACTTTGATTTTGTAACTTGAACATTTCTAAGAAGACAATATTTCTAAGAAGACAATATGTAATTTGTCAACTAGTGATCTCTTGCTGTTAATATTTTTTGAAATTCTGTATTATTTCAACCCTTTTTTATTTTTTTCTTTAAATTAAAAAAAGGAAGAAGATATAGGCCAGTGGTAGCTCTGCTGGCCAAGGAGAAACAAGAAGGAAGGTAGGCAGCACTCTGTGTGCCAACAGTGGCCTTGCTGGCTGGGGAGAAACATGAAGGAGGCCATTCCCCTCTCCCCCACCACCGGGTGATGGGGACAGCCAGCACATGGGCTGGGAGAGAAGAACTGCCACCTCCCCTCCTCAACTCCTTGTAAGTTAGGAGCTGATTCAGAGGAACACAGGCTGAGATGGTAACAAGTGAAGTAAAGAAACAACTTAACATTTGTATTATTTGACTGACTTTGCAAGCCTAAAGCCAGTCCTCTGAGCAACTACTTAGAGAATAATGATATGCAATATAGTACCTATTATGGATTTACCACTGTTTTGTTTTGTTTTATACCCTTTAAAATAAAAAAGAAGACATAAAGATCCTAAATAACCCAGTATCAATTCATGAAATTGATGATGTAATTAAAAGCCTACCAACAAAAAGCCCTGGTCCTGATGGATACACAGCTGAGTGGTACAAGAAATTTAGAGAGGATCTACTGCCATTACTCCTCAGTCTCTTTAATGAAACTGAAAGGGAAACAGTAGTCCCAGACTCACTCCTGAAAACAATCATTACCCTCATCCCAAAACCAGAGAAGGATTCAACCAAAAAAGATAGATACAGATCAATCTCTCTAACAAATACTGATGTAAAAATCCTCAATAAAATACTAGCAAACAATGCAGCAAATCATCAAGAACACTATACACCATAACAAAGTACATTTATCCCAAAGATAAAGGGATGGTTCTACATATGCAAATCAATAAATGTAATGCACCATATCAAGAGAATTAAGGACAAAAACCATATGATCATCTCAGTAGATGCAGCAAAAGAATTCCACAAAGTCCAACACCCATTCATGATTATAAACTCTATAGAAAATTGGAATAGCTGGTCTATCTCAATTTGATAAAAGGCATCTAGGACAAACTAACAGCCAACATTATAGTAAGTGGTCAAAACCTGAAAGCTTTCACTCTAAAATCAGGAACAAGACAAAGATGTTAAAAAAAAAAAAAAAGACGTTGTTCACTATACCCACACCTCTTGAGTATCATTCTAGAAACATTATCCAGAGTAATTAGACAACAGAAAGAAATACAAGGAATAAAGACAGGAAACGAAAAAGTTAAATTATTACTACTTTCAAATGACATGATATTCTATATAGAAGACTCTCAAAACTTCACTAAAGACTTATAGGCTTAATAACCAAATTCAGTTACTTAGCTGGATACAAAGTCCACACTCAAAAATCAGTAGTATTCTTGTAGAAAAATAAACTCATTGAGAGAGAAATTAGGGAAAATCACACTTTTCATGATAGCACCCAAAAAATGAAATACTGAGGAATCAATCTAACAAAGGAAGTAAAGAATCAGTCTAACAAAGTAAAAGATCTCTACATTGAAATCTACAGAATTCTGGAAAAGGAGCCTGAAGAGGATAACAGAAAATGGAGATATCTCTTGTTCTTGGGTAAGAGGAACCAACAGAACGAAAATGGCCATATTCCCAAAATTGTTACATAGATTTAATGTGATCTCAATCAAATACCAATAGCATACCTCACAGAATTAGCGAAAACAATCCTAAAATTCATTTTGAGCCAGAAGAGATCTAGAATAGCAAAGCAATCCTGGGCAACAAAAGCAAGGGAGAGAGTAACACAATGTCTGATCTGAAATGGTACTACAGAGTTAGTGTGATAAAAACAGCATGTTAGTGCCAAAAAGAGATCACAGATCAATGGAACGGACTAGAAGATGCAGAAACAAGTCCAAACATATTCAGTCACTATATCTTTAACAAAGGGGCCAAACATTTTCACTGGAAGAAAGATAATTGTGTCAATAAACAGTTCTGGAAAAAACAGCTTTCCACATACCACAGAATAAAATTAGACCCATGTGTCTCATCATGCAGTAAACTAAAATCAAAATGGATCAAAGATCTTAGTATTAAACCCAAAACACTAAACCTGTTAGAAGAGAGAATAGGTAGAAATCTTCAAGACACAGGTGTAGGCAAAGACTTTACAAACAAAACCATGATCACACAGAAAATATAACAAAGAGTCAACAATTGGGACTCATCTTAATAAAAAGTTTTTGAACAGAAAGAGAAACCACTAACAGATTGAAGAGACAACCCACAGCATGGAAAAAAAATTTTTATCAGTTGTTCCTCAGACAAAGGACTAATATCTAGAATACATAAAGATCTGAAAAAAAATCAGACCCCTCCCCAATGTAATAGGCATGGGATGAATCCACACTTCTCAGATAAAGATGTACAAATTAATAATAAATATATATAAAGCATGTTCAACATTACATCATTCAAGAGTTGCAAATTAAAACAACACTGAGATTCTATTTCACTCCAGAGGGGCTGGCTATTATGAAGAAATCAACCAATAACAAATGCTGGTGAGACTGTGGGGAAAAAGGAACCTTTCTCTGTTGTTGGTAGAGTGTAGACTGGTGCAACCACTGTGGAAATTAGTGTGGTGATTCCTCAAAAAATTAAAAGTAGAGGCTCCATTTGACCCAGCTCTTTTCCTTCTTGGTATCTTCTCTGAAGAATTCAAAGCATCGTACCATACCCATGTTTATAGCGGCAAAATATGTAAAAGCTAAATGTTGGAAACAGCCCAAATGCCCATCAACCAATGAATGGATAAAGAAGATGTGGGTTTTTTTTAATACAGTGGAGTACTACCCTGCCATAAAGAAGGCTAAGTCTGAGATATTTTTAAGTAAATGGATGCACTTTGAGACCATGCTCTTAAGTGAAATAAATTGGACACATGTAAATATTGTATAGTCTCCTTGCTGTGAGAAAAAGAAAGGGAACCTAAGGGGTAAAATGTGTAACAGATATTGTGAAATAGGAAGAAAATGGGAAAGGGAACTAGTGAGAAGGGAGGAAAAAGGTAGAGAAGGCTGGGGATTTAGCTCAGCGGCATAAGCACTTGCCTTGCAAGCCGGTGGTCAAGAGTTCGATCCCTGGTACCGATAAAAAAAAAAAAACAAGAAGTGATCAGCCTTTATGAAAAAGGAAACAATGATAATAAAAAGAAAAAAATGGAATCAATCCTTTTGTAAATAAGGAGGGGAAGAGGAATTGAAGGGGAAGGGAGGAAAAGGGGAAAAAGAATCAAGACATATGTACAGGTACAAATTTCATATGATGAATGTTATTGTTATATGTATCTAAAATGTACCAATAAAACTACATAATTAAAAAGCTGTTTTAATATAAATAAAAGTAAAAAGAAACAAAGAAACCTCAATCAAGTAAGAGAATGATCCTTTGAGTATTTCAGAGTATTCCAGATTGAGGCAATAACAAGTACAAAAGCACTGAGGCAGGATTGTGCTTGGCGTATATATGAGAAGGCATTAGCAGTTGGAACATGACGGTTGATGGAAAATGATAGAAAACCAGGTCAAAGCCACTGCCAGGACACAGATCATGTTGGGCTTTGTGGGTCATGGTAAAGACTCTGGATTTTATCTCAGTGAAACAGGAAGGAAGTCATTGGTGCACAGAGAAGAAGGCATCATTGAGGACATGATTAGCTAAATTCCAAAAATAAGCTGAGGAAAAGGAGGCATACGAAACACTGGCAAGATAAGAGTTCACTACAACTTTTTCAGAATGCTTTCTATAAATTGCTTTAGCAGAATGTGACTCAAGGGATGGAGCAGTAGTAGGTGAGACTTCTGGAAAATTAGGTCATGAAAGAGAAAATACATGGGAAGAAGTTAAGAATAGTGGGATGAAATGAAGGTCTTTTAATACAGAAGAGCTGTGCAAAAATGAAGATGGAGAAAATGGTTAATTTTTGAAATATGTACAGCAATTTTAGCCCAAAATGTTTTGCATTTTTTGCTAAGCCAAAACTCTGGTCCTGAAACTGTAGGAAGAGGGTCTCATGTACCCACATTTCTGTACCTGTTTGTGACAATGCTGTTGCTTCCACTCTCCCAGTCACCTGGTGCTGACGCTCTCAGGAGCTTGTTTTTACTTGTGTCTAGTGGAACCAGTAAGTTGACCATAAGATTTGCAAAGTGAATGGCCTGACTGAAGACAGTGCTTTCTTCATGTTGCACCAATTCTTGCTGAGTTGATTTGTTCAGAGTGGGCCAAAGGCGAAGCTGCTCAGCCGCCAGGTCCATGGCGGTCTTCTCTTGATACTGGTCATCAGAAAGCTTATCCTGAAAAAAGGAAACACAAGACAAAGGAGAGAACCCATCACTCAAATAAACTTCAAAAACATGGATGATTTTTAAAGTATAGGTGCTCTCTTAGGAATATTCTATGTTTCTGCATATTTTATTAGCATATACTATAGGGTAAATATATTAAAATTGATTATATTGAGAATCATGAAAACATGAAGTACTTGTATCACCAAAAATGAAAACACATTAAAAAAAAATCTAACGAGCACCATAAAGCAAAAACCTAGTTGGTTCCCTACACTCCCCAGTTCAATAAGTTTTCAGTAGAACCATGTGAAGAACTGGAATACCTATGTCATATTTGTACCTAGACAGGACTCAAATACAGACTTCTTTAGAATGGAGGACACAGAGTTTGCCACAGGATTGCTTTATGAATGTTCTTGAGATATAGGATGTTAGCATTATAGTTTCTTAAGAAACTATCAAAAACAGATTGACAGCACAATTACTTCTGCAGTATGACTTCAGTCTAATAATTTTTACTCTGCTACAAGTTACCTCTTAGTCAAGTACATTTGGTATATTTAAATTAAGCAAACAAGTTATACTTGTCTGTACAATAACAATTTAGAATATCAGACAGATATTAATGCTGCATGTTATTAAGGGTCTTGTTCTTATCACATAATAATATGTTTAAAATAATATAAAGCATAAAAATATTTGACGGTGTTTTTGTAGATGTTTAGGATCATTTATCTTACATAAAACAATTTAAAATGGAAGATCATGGAAAGGCTTATCAATGATGTATTCACTTAGCACACAATTAAAAATTACTTGTCAGTACCAATAATTAGTCTTTTAGGCTGTTTTAAGTTTAATTCATGAGGGTGATCATTTTCAACACCTTTTATTTAATATTACCTAGGTACTCTGTAATGAGCTTTTACATGTGAGAAATTAAAATCTTATAATAATCGTATCTATTCATTTATTTTAGCAATGATGCAACAGAACAAAGAGGTAACATATCTTGTCTAAGATCAAACAGCTAGTAAATGACATTTTACTACGTTAGAATATTTTTAAACTAAGAATAATTCTTTTGATTTTAAATATTTCTTTAAAAAATGCTATTAAAATATAAACAGAAAGAGCTATATCTATTGCCTGCATACTTTGGAGCAGATCTACTGAATTTTTCTTTTTCTTTTGTTCTTTCTTTCTTTCTCTCTCTTTTTTTTTTGGTCTTTTTGAGACGGTTTCGCTATGCAGTTCGGGCTGGCCTTAAACTCACTTTGTAGCCCGGTTCAACATTAGCCTTGAACTCACAGTGGTCTTTTTGCCTCAGCCTCCCAAGTGCTGGGACTATAGGCGTGCACTACCATGCCCAGCTACAACTATTTTAAAGTTAATTATCTTCTCTTTCCTTAACTTGGATCCTTGCACATGCTAGGTAAGTACTCTATGGCACTGAGCTATATCATCCTCTGCCCTAGAGTCAATTAGTATTTCTTTAAGGAAGTAAGTTGCATGATACTTGCACCTAGCTATACTTTTAGGTTTGTTCCTTATGTTCAGTTTTCTATTAACTGTTTCCCAGGAATTGTTACTTATTAAATATAATGAAATAATTCTAGTGGAAATGAACTGTATTAAGAAGTTATTACAGAAAAATATAATGTCAGAAAGCAACAAAAGAAAAATATTTACCTTTGGGTTCCCTAAATTAAACTCAAATATACTAGTGGGAAGGGTTAGATTCACCTGTATCTGGAAAAGCTTTCTTTACAGTGAGAAGAATCCTAGTCTTACACAAGGATTTTTCTTTTCTCTTACCTTGTGTTTTAGATATGGAGCATGATTGTCTTCTTTTGTTGAAAGATACAAGGAGCGGACTTGTTCTTGCACTGCACTGTAAAAAGTTGTTTCCCAAAACTGCTGATTTGTCCAAATGGGATGATCCTGTACGCAGGTGTAAGCAAACTGGTTGACTCCAGGAGCAAGTTTCTGTGAGAGTACAAATATCTATCACCATTGGGCTGGCAGAGTTATGACAGTTCATAAAGTCATACAAGTGATTAAAGGATTTCTCTCAACTCTTAGTGATCAGCATCTTACTCATTATTTTTTTTTTTGTCTTTTTGAGACAGGGTCTCACTATGCAGTCCAGGCTGGCCTTGAGCTCACTTTGTAGCCCAGGCTGGTCTGCAACTTGTAACAATCCTCCTGCCTCGGCCTCCTGAGTGCTGTAATCACAGGTGTGAGCCACCATGCCCGGGTAATATCTTACTCATTTTTAACTGGCAATCTTGGGCTTGCCATCAAATCCTTTAGTGTCTCAGTTATAATATCAAAATGGGCATTTTAGCAACAGCTTAGGAGTCAAAAATATTACTTCGTGAATTGGAGAATATATAAAAAGTACCTAGCACTGTACTGTACACATACAGTAGGCATTGTAACAGTCATAATTAGGACATACAATAAAATTCATTAAGATCTAAACATAAAACTCCTAATAATTTATAATTTATTTGATTTGATTTTAGAGTACATAAAAAACCCTGGCAATGTCAGTGAACTTATACTTCAGCTTTATAAATAAATAAGAGCAAATGTTGAGCTTATGGCTGAAGGAATTACACCTGCCCTATTCCTCACCCTAACCCAGCGACGGCAAACCTTTTCAAGCTTTCAGTGATAAAGCAGCACATGTGCCACTTGCTTGCCACTACTTCTAGCTCATTACCTCCCCACCATGGCTACTGTCACATACACACAGGAAGACTTTTCTGGGCTTCAAGAGCATTTTGTGGTAACCAGATTTAGGTATGGGAAGGAAACCACAAACCAAATTCTTCTTGGACTTTCTTCAGGGGGTCTGAGTAAGAATAAACTTACGAGATATTTAACAGAAGGAAGGAAAACAAACTGTAGGCACTTGGTAGATACGTCATATATATTTTTGTATATATAATTAATACTGAAGTCTTACAAGATGAGCATTAAGAGGCCCCGCCACAGGAAGGCACCTTCCTATGGATAGCCAGTGTGGGCAGAGAGAGCCAGCAGATCTGCCTCTGTCTGCCAGGTGCCACCACCAGAAGGCGGTTTCCTTGCGGGCAGCCAGCACAGGCAGAGAGAATCAGCAGATCCATCTGTTTGCCAGGTGCTGCCACCAGAAGGTAGACAGTCAGTGTGGGCAGAGAGAGCTAGAAGATCTGCCTCTGTCTGCTGGCTGCCACCACCAGAAGACCACTTCCTGTGGGCAGCCAGTGTGGGCACAGAGAACCAGGCAGCTCTGCCTCCACCTGCCAGGTGCTGCCATTGGAAGGCTCCTTCCTATTGGCAGCCATTGTGGGCAGAGAGAGTCAGACGGATCCACCTCCACCTGCTGGGCGCTGCAACAAGAAGCTTCCTTCCTGGGCAGCCAGTAGGAGCAGGGACAGGAAGCCAGGTAAGCCCTGTGCACCTACAGGCCACCAGTGGAGGCCCTTGGGCACCTTTGGGCAGCCATCACCCACCAGAAGAATCAGATAAACACATCCCTGTGTGCCTGCCACCATTGTAGGAGTCCTATTGTAGACACACAGGCTAAGAAAAGCAGCCCCGCCTCCATGCGCCCCTGATCAATGAGGAAGCCCCAGTGTAGCTGCACAGTCTAGAGAAGCCTGCCCCAAGTCCTGGTACCTTCCTCTTCCTGTACATTTGGGGTCAGAGGAACACAGGTACCTGTCCCATTAGGAGGGGCAGCCATCATGGGAAGTGCCCAGAGCCGCAAAACTAGCTTATTGTGAGGAACCCAAGACGAAGGAGCAAAAGGCATTCTCAGACCTCCAGCCCACGTAGGACAAGTTTGGGAGATACAGTTATGGAATAAAATGGAAGTCACACACCCAGAATCTCTGAGAGGATACAACCGAAGTACTTCGTGAGATTGTAAAAGCAATCAAATTAGAAGTAATGTTTCAGGTAAAAGAAGAAATCACAAACATAATGAAAAAATTGCTTAGTATATCTAAAGAAGACATAGATTAAAAAAGAGGAGCATAGGAAAATGATGGAAACCTTGAATAAATATAGAAAGGAATTACAATGCACAGAACAGATTAAATTAAAGTCAATTGAAAGCTGGCAAAACTGCTTGAAAGAGACTGAAGATAGATTTTCAAACCTTGAGGACAGGATTGCAACTAGCAATTATGAAAGGAAAGCTCTCTTAAAAATAAGGAATCAGGAAATAACAAGTCAATGGCTGCAAGATGATGCAAAGAAGCACAATTTTAGAGTGACAGGTATCAGTAAAGAAGCAGGGATCAACCCAAATGAAATCAAAAGGGTATTTACAGAATTAATATCAGAAAACTTCCCAAACATGGGAAATGGATCTGGCATACAGGTAAGTGAGGCATATAGGACTCCAACTAGCCATAACGAAAGTAAATGTACCCCCAGATGTATAATAATTAAGAAGCCATAAATTCAGCATAAGAACAGAATATTAAAAGCTGTTAGAGAAAAGAAACAGATCCCCTATAAAGGAAAACCAATCAGAATCACAGCAGACTTATCAGCACAAACCATCTAGTTAAGAAGAGTTTGGAGTGAAGTGTTTCAAATCCTTAAAGAAAAAAACTTCCAACCCAGATTGATCTACCCTGAAAAACTATCTTTCAAAATTAGTGGAAAAATAAGATACTTCCATGATAAAGAACAACTGAAGGAAATTATGACTACCAAGCCAACCCTACAGACAGTGTTAAATAATATTCTAGAGAGAGATAAAGATGACCATGGTTCCAGGAACAGCAGCAGAGGAGGATCATCAAACGAGATAGGCAATTGTCAGTGAAGGGGAAAAGTGGAGGGCCAGCAACAGGAGGATAGCATGGCAGAGACAACCAATGTATGCTGGTTATGTAGATGGCCTCACATTAGCAATGAAAAGAAACACAGGGAGAGTGGATCAAGAAACAAGATCCACTGATATACTGTATACAAGAAACACATTTAACTGGAAAGGAAATTCAGAGACTGAAAATCAAAGAAGAGAAAACAATTGTTCCACATGGCAGGAGACCAGAGGAAAAAAGGAGAGTAACTTGCTCATCACTGCAGAATGAATAAAGATATGTTATTTCATGCAGTGGAAAGCAACCTAGCTATAAAGTAGAATAATCTTGAGGGTCTTGTAAGGTAAAGGGATGCAACTGGAGATCATGTTCATGGGTGAAATATATGAGTGAAAGCATATGAGTGAACCCTAGCATAAGAAACAGAAGGAAAATAGTTATTGGAAGAATGATAGGGGAGGAAACACCTGTGAGGGAAAGGTGTAACTACTGTTAATTTCTTATTGTTTTGTCTTGAATTCTTATATTGTTTTCACAATTTTGTTAGGTTTGGCTTTGTTCTATCTTGTTTTGTTAGATTTTACTTTGTCTGATAGTATGGGCAGCTATTTTGAACATAATGGGATGTATTATGGTAATCATAGTTGGTTTCCTATTATATTGTTTTGAAATCTTATAATTCATTCATTTAACTGGTTTTACTCTTTTGTTTGATTTTTTTTATGTGTGATAGTATGAACAGTTATTGTGAAGAAAACGAGATATTATGGTAGCCATTGCTGACTTTCTATCATCTTGTTTTGAAGTCCTATCATGCTTTTGTTTTGATTGGTTCTAATCTGTTGTGTTGTATTTCATTTTATTATGTGTGACAGTAACACAACATTTTTTGAGGAAAGTGAGATACTATAGTAGCCATTGTTCATTTCCTGTTATCTAGTTTTGAAGTCCTGTAATGCTTTCATTCTTTTGATTGGTTTTATACTATTTTGTTATGTTTGATATTGTTGTGTGTGAAGGTATGGTCAATTATTTCAAAGAAAACAAGAGACATCATGTTAGCCACTGTTGACATCCTGTTGTATTGTTGTGAAGTCCTGTGTTGCTTGCATTGTTCTGTTCTGATTTGCTTTGTTCTATTTTCCTTGTATTCTTTTTAAAAAAAAAATTAAAAAACATCAATTCCATAAAAAAGATGAACATTAATATCTTAAAAATTAAGGAAAAGAAAAGTTTTGTGGAAGTTTAAGCAATTGCCTAAGGCTGCCTAGAAATTATATAAGTGGTAGAAATAGGTCTGAGTAGGTTTCAGATCCAAAGTTTGCTTGGTTCCTGCTGTTTTATCTTCCAAAAAAGAACTAAAAACAAACCAGAAAATAAATTATAAGTTAGTATTGCTGTGTTCCCCTACCCTTAGAATTTTGTCTCTCAAAAGTTAGTATTTATTTTACCATGAAATATCCTATAAGACTTTATGGAACAATGCATTTTAAAATTTTAGAGATAAATCACATTGTCAAATTTCAGTTAATGACTTGAGTTATCTTCCACAGCCACTGCTTTTATTTCTAAAATTAAGAATGCTTAAAAATTTTTACTTCATTATTTCTCAGTAAATAGCAGGTAAAATTTTCAAAAGATAGACCTTTCTCAGCCCATTTTATTTTTTGGAATTGAGTTTATTTGTTTTTTGTGGGTAGAACTAAAGTTAGTGATTAAGTTTTCTTTTGAAAAAATTTAGTAAGCTGAATTTTCTTCAAATGTCAGAGACTGAAGATTATTATTAAAATTATACACATAACAACTATGAAAGAAAAGTCAGTTCATTTCTTAGGGACATGCAACAAATGTATAAGATACTTGATAAATATTATATAGTTAATATATGTATACTAAACCTAAAGCTAGAATAGTTACCAGGCATACTATGAAATACAGTACTTTTTAGCAGAAAGATAGCTATGACTTTAGTCTGTAAAGGTGTTTGTATGCTGTGTATGCTAGGTGAAAGTATAAGTCTCTTTCAATAAAGGGCTGAGAACTGCTGCTGAGTAACTAGCTATGACCCTATTTCTACCTGTTAAATGGCTATAAGTTAGGGATGACCTACAACAGTTGGAGTGAGCCTATGTCACCTGTGCTGCAGTGGGCTTT